AATATATATATATATACATAAATACAATATACAAATATTTACATTTCTCATCATAGATATATAAAATATGTGATAACATTTTCGGTTTTAACTTGAATTTATTTTTCGAAATAGAAAAAGTGTAGCAGTTTCTAGTGCGAAATTTTATAAATTTAAATTACTTATGTAATATAAAATAGATATTTACCGCCGATAGACTTCTTCTGCATTCTTCAGACGATTTTCATCAAAATCGATATCAAGTTTATCGAGGGCGGTTAATACTTCCTGGGTGTCACGATGTTGCGTATATGTCATCCAACAACATGGCTCGACTTCATTAGCATCTAAACCCCAGTACTGAAATGTGACAACTATTAATTAACACACATTCTGTATAATGGAAGAGGCGTCAGGAAAAATGTTATTTATTCCTAAATGAAATATGAATTCAGTTGTTAGTTGTCCAATTAACATTTCTGATACACATGTGTTTTTTAATCTACCTAAATTGCTCACTTCTTTTTTTATTTGTTTAATTTTAACAATATATTTGAGTAATATTCATTCCCTAATTAGTGCTTCATAATTGCTTCAGCTACTGATATTTTATTATCATTAGTAAGTGATCAATTGATTAATAGATTTGAGAGCTAATAAAATGATATGGTAATTTAAAATGAGAATAACAAAAGTAATTAAAAATTATGTAATCAATATCATAAATATATTTCATCAAACAAAGAAATAAATATAGTTTCATCGAACAATTGCTTATTTAAATAACAGAATAAATAAAAATTAGTTGACAATTTGAAACGTGTTCAGAAGAATCGAGATTGATATGATACTTAAATGTATATTAACAATTTGCTGATGAAATACCTTTAATTCTTCTTCAAAAAGCGGTCCACAGACATCAAGTGGATAATGTAACTTGCCAGTGCGATAATAATTCAAAACAAGAGCAAAGACGCCTGGATGACGATCGAAAAAGTATTCATTAAGCACCGGGTCGTAATTAGCCAAATTTTGTGTCAAACGGCTTAAACGTGTGGCCGGAATTTTCTTAAGCGTATGTTTATATGTTTCATGTCGTATACCACCAACATTTAGGATAACACGATATTCACTATCCATAATATTGCTTCTATAAAGACAAAAAAAGCTGAAATAAATGAAGACAAACATGTGAAGATAAATGTGAAGACAAACAAAAATTGAAATAAATGAAGTCATGACAATTTTTTGAAGAAATTATTCTTAGGAATAAATTTTTAGTTAATTCATAAATTTATATATGTGAAGACTATATTTATATTGTTTTAAAAAATATCGCTGTGTGCTAAAAAAGTTCATAGAAACAGCAACTATAAACTACCACATGTCATTCTTTTTTCGAGGTAAGAGGGGAAGAAAATATAATCTGTGAGTTGACCTTTTTTTAAAAATTTTCGAAGGTATGTCGATCTCAACATAAAAAGAAACAAAAAATGACAACACACATAAAAATGTGGAAATAGACAAATAATGAAACGGATGAAAAGGAAGAAAAGAATAAAAAGAGTTTAAGCAATTAACATGATTCTTGAATTTCGATTTTTGCAACGACATATAATGAACTGAGCTAAGTGAAAGGAAAGGACAATGTGGCACTGACGAGTGAGTTAGTTTGAAAAATAAATAAAATGAAAATTTGTTATAAACTTTCTTTTTATTATTGTTATTCCGTCCGTATGCATGTATTTGCGTGTGTATGTGTGTATGTATGTATGTGTGGTGATGTGTATGTGTGTGTACGTGTGTGTGTGTGTGTGTGTATGTTTGTGTGTATGTTTGTTAGCATGTGTGCATGTATGTGCATATGTATGTGATGAAATGATGAGAGAATATTGATGATTTTGTATTCAATTAAAATTTAAACAAGTTTTCGAACTTTTCTGTTTGAGCTTCAAAAAATCTTGTTTTTAACTTTAAAAAAAGGAAAAGCAAAAATGGAAATAAGTAATTCATCAAGGAGAAGGGGAAAAAATGAAAATTGAATTTATGCTTATATACACGAAAGACTGAATGAAAAAAAGGTAGAAATTATCTTGAAAATTTCATAAATTTCTATTCGCTTATTTGAAAGTATTCCGCTCGGTTGCATTTTTTTCTTCTTTCATTTTTTTTTTTTCATTGATATAATAATTCTTCTCTTTATAAAATATACCTGCTTTTTCCAAATTTTTTGCTTAAAAATTTAGTTTATTTTTCCTTCTCATAATACTTTTCTTCTTTTTTATTCTCTCCGTATTTTCATTTTATGCTTACTCGTTTCTTTTTCCTTAATTTCTAATCTCATTTGTCATCAGTGGTTAGTGAATTTTTCATCAAAAATTCACATATTTATATAGAATTATACAGTAAATAGCATATCCAATAAAATAAGTACATGGGTGAAAATATGTAAATGTGAATGGACTTTCTGCTTATTTCACTTTCCTTCTTTCTTCCAATTAAAATTTTTGAATGTATACTTTAAAATGTTCGTTAAAAATTTCTCCCATACTTTTAAAACTTCATTAATTGTTATATTAAATAATAAATAATACAAATGCTACCGTATTTGAATC